ATATATTTGCTTTAAAAAGTGGTCTTGTTTAGGTTAAGCTTTTGGATGTCCAGCTAGAAATACTGTAATGGAACTTGTTTTCAAGTTGAACAAAAAATGTTTAGGCTTAGAAACATCTTTAAATGAATGGAGAGTTGGTATTTGATATGATTGTGCTAAAGCTTTCTCAAAACCATTCCACATTAATTCAGCATATTCTGTTCTTTAGTCTAGTAAAAGTGATGGTGCACAGAAAGAAGTTAAATATGAGCCATTTTCTTTTCCTGATGGTGAGTACAGGGAAGTAAAGCTATTTTAAAGTAATTTTCTATTTACTGATATTTAAGTGGACCTGATGGTAGGTATATTTTGAGAACCCTGGTTATTTTTAATGCCTTTGAAAATTAATCTTCAGAAACTGATGGAAATTTAAGGAATGGAAAGATTAGGCAAGTCAAAATGGTGTTGAGATAGTCAAAGACTTAATTGTCATCCCTCTGACAAGTTGATGATACATAGAAGACATGCGCCTCAAAAGACATTTTGCATGTAATGTGCAGTTGTTTTGTATGCTTCCATGTCAGTGGGTGATAGAAAGCTGAAATCAAAACAGAAACTTAAATTGGACTTTTAAAACTTCTGTAGTGGTGCTAGTGTTGCCTAATTTGGGGGGGCTTGGAGCTTGAATGTCCTAAGCATTCACCCTTATGTTGAGGACGCTGTGCAGAAATTATTTTGGAGGTCTTGTTTACCCAGACTGTTACCATTCAGTGCTTCCTGAGGCTTGTGTGTGTTGCACTATGTGAGAAGTGGGGCGGGGGGTGTTGACTAGCTTGAGAGCACAGTGAAAACAAGATATTCTGGAGTGCTGAGAAATGCAGTTAAGACACGTTGGGAACTGTAACACCCTTCTTGGTATGTTTGGAATTAGCCAGCTTTTTCCATTGAAAAATGGAATAGCATAATTGAACTAACTGCAGAGTGGTTGATTACTGTATCTGAGTATTCTCAGCAGTGTCGCTATACAGCCCATGCCCAGCACATCAGTTCTTGCAGTTTCATGGCTTGCCCTGAATGCGGACAGCAGCTGGTGTTTGAAGGAGGTATTGGCCAAACCTCTCCAGAAGATTTACTGACCATACATCATTGTTTTAATACTTCAAGCTTGCTGCATTTGCATTACATCCAGAATACATATTTATGTCTTGAAAATGGACAACATTCTCAGTTTCCTGAGAGGCTATCCTGGCTGAAAGCTGCTGCTTTTAGTTCGCAATGATTTAGAACCATGCTGTAAATGGGGTTTTACACAGCTACAGTGCTGCAGTATGGCTAACGTGCCTTTGGTCTGTATGCTGTTAAAAACACTAAAACTGTTCATGTAAGACTAGCGTAACTGTTTTTTCCCCTCTTCCTTTAGATATTGGTTCTAATAATTGCGGCTATTATGACCTGCAGGCAGTGCTAACACATCAAGGCAGATCAAGTTCCTCTGGGCATTATGTGTCTTGGGTTAAAAGGAAACAAGGTAAAAAAACCCATTACAGTACTGTTAACCACCCTTCACAGCTTCTTTCATTTAAGGGGCTGTTAAATGTGATTAGATTTTATGTACCTAAATTACAAATAATCCTCTTGTTTTTCTTGCAGATGAATGGATTAAATTTGATGATGACAAAGTCAGCATTGTTACACCTGAAGATATTTTGAGGTTATCTGGGGGTGGAGACTGGCATATAGCTTATGTTCTACTCTACGGGCCTCGCAGAATTGAAGTAATTGAAGACGAAGCTGAACAGTAGTCTTCAGTTTTAGTCATTCTGCCTAGGTGTGAAATAAATGTTGATTACTGATCACTTCTTTAACCCCAGAGCTTTAGCAAGTGGATAAATAATTTGTTTAAACCTTTTCATGAGAAGAGGGACGTTGTTTCAAAACTGATCCATGTACCAATTAGTCACTACTGGACTGGACTGCCCACTGTGGTGGTGACAATACTTTAAATAGCTTTAATGTCTTGCAGAAGATAATTTTTTTTAAATGAGCCTCTTGCCCTCCTGCCCCTTCCTTCCTCTCTAAAGTCATCAAGTATTTATTATACACCTGTTCTCACATTTGTTACTCTTGCATGGTTTATACCACAGTTCAGTAGCTGTCCATCCTTTGCCTTACCTGGCAGTTTTGTTAGGAAGGTAGAAGAGAAACTGTTGCCTTGTTGTGTAACTCAGTGCTGCTGCCCATAGCCAACAACTGTGGCTGCAATCAAGTATTTGTCCAGCCTGACCTGCTGATTCAGTCTGTTGTTGCTGGCATCTCATGACTTCAAAATAAATTGTGATCAACAATGTGTCTCCATTAAAAAAAAGTTCATGTCTTGGTAGTGTAGTTAGTATGTGTTTTGTTTTCACTTCTTGGGCTACCACTGATGAATGTCTTGAAGCAGTCACATAATAAAGCCACTTTTTTTTAAGCTGTAGGGATTTATCTCCTGTCCTGTTACTCTTTACTCAGTATGTAAGTCTAGTGTAGTGGCTGCAAAACTGGGCTTTGCTTGCTTACAGTAATTTCTGTTCCTTCCCCACAGGAATACAGCAGCTGTATGCTAGTGGGAGGCTGCAGTAAAAAGTATTTCAGTGTTGGCTACAGCCATAAAAGCACTAGGCCATCAACAGAACTCAGCCCTCTGTGTAGAGGATCTGATTTTTAATGTGTCCCAGTCCCTTCTGGGAGAGCTAGTCCATATTCATATGAAATGCCTTCTGTTGTGTCTTCGCTAACAGTGACAGTGTGGTGAGTTCAGCTGTGCCTTCCTTGCACAGAAAGGATCCCTCCTTTAACCCTCCTCTGGGGCCACTGGCTTCAGCTTTCACCTTCCCAGGTAGTTTTTCTCCCTTACAACTCGTGTTGCTGGTTATTGCACTGCCGCCTTCACTGCACAGCTTACCCTGGGAGCACGCCAAAGGGCTAAGGGTGCAATTTAAAAAAGTTGGATGATGCTTAAAGGCAAGTTCCCCAGCACAGTACTGACTCTGTTCCTGTGTACCCCACAGAAATAGGACAGGCTCCTCTGTTTTTAAAGGCTTGTTCTGTGTCCTGTTAAGGAGGAAGGAGTTTCCTCTCTGAAAGCTGCTGTTGGCAGTTGAAGAGAGCCTACACCCATAAAATAATTAATCTTTTATTACTGATCACAGCCTGATAGTTATAAAAAAAAAATTAACTGTTTTTTCTTCCCAGAAAGTGTTCTGCCCCATTTGCTTTTTCCTAATTTTGAGATGCATGCATTTATCACACCTGACAACTGTACTACAAGTTGTCTCACTGGGACAGGATACACTTAATAACAAACAGCTGGGACACTGAAACCCCCTTACTACATGGGTCTACAGGCCTGCCATTGTCATTTCTAGTGGATGTCTTTCTAGGTCTATCAAACCCTTTAGTTGCACCTTAGGGCTGGGGCTTGAAGCCATGATAGGGATCCTCACAGTCAGGATCTCTCCCCCAGTGGGTCTAATTCCAAGCCTGTTTGAAGGCCAGAGCAGTGCTGTCACATTTTGATGAGGTCACACTTGTCAGATAATGCAGAAAAAATCTGCACTCCTTGCACAAAATGACACAAGACTGCTGGATCAGAGAAAGGGATCAAATCTAAAGCAGGGGGGTGGCTTGGTGCCCAAGTCTCCCACCTTGAACACAAGCACTGAGATCATGGTTCATGCCTGTAGCAGCAAGAATGTAACTTGCTGGACATGGCTTCCTTCAGTTACCTTCATAATGGCTGCCCTCATCCCCAGCTTTCCCAGTGTCAAGGTGGCAGGGAGGCCACCTTCAAGAACTGTTCAGTCATCCACACACACCTCAGTTCACAATACACTTGAGTGCCTGAGTCAAGTGACATCGTTACTTTTTGTACCTTCTACCAAATTGTACCTGCAGCAAGAGGTTAAGAGTTAGGCTGTATTATTTCCAATGCCTGTCCCATGGATCAGCCCATACCAACTTTCACTGGAGCACCCAGTAATCAAATTCCTAATAAATGCAGTTAAATCCAAAGAGGGGGAGCAGGCACAAAGCTGTCCTCAACAGCTCTGTAGGCAGGAACCTGCCTCCCAGCTGGTAGCAAACCACCCTGGAAATTCACAGGTACAATGTAGTAACTGAAACAATGCAGAGAAAAGTCCTGTAGTATGTAGTTTTCCAAATAATCAGCAATTAACTGAATGACACAAATTCTACAGGAAATAATAGCCACAAAACAAGTTGTAGCTAGCTATACCACCACAAAAATCTCTCACTTCTTGAGGAAAAACAGATCTAGCTACATGCAACAGCTTGTACTCATCAACAGAGCTGTATCCTTAAAAGGAAACCAATTGTCACTTCTTCACAGTGAACTGGGACAAAAAAAATTCACCTTGTTTATCATGATTCAGGGGAGTTCTTAAATAGCAAACATATGCAGAGACTAAAGTTAATCATTACTAATAAAAACAAGCATAGAAACCCCTCCTGACTATTGACTGTCAAGGCCTAGAGAGAACCAGTTCTTCAGCAGGAGAGCCAATGGACCACAGCACCCCTCCAAGGACAGCAGTTCTTTGCTGAAAGTGAATATTATAACTTGGATCTCCATGACAACTCTGTTACCTTCTCAGAGTGGAATCACTCACAAACAGGTATGTTTTGATGGTCTATAGCTCCCTGCCACCCCAAGCAATGACTTGGAAGTCCTTTGCACCTACCCATGCTCTGAGAAACCACCCACCAGCAGCAGGGTCACAGAGACCACCAGACACTGTCCAACAGGATCCACCTGAGCTCTGCTGATGCCAAACCCTCCTGCTGCAGGCTGCACAGGAAGCAGCCTTGACTCTCCATCCTCCCTTTTACCTTTCCACCATCCAAGGTGAAGCTTCCTATTTCTGGATCAGGATGACTAATCCTTTTCTCAGAAAATCTGGACAACTGAACAATGTTATTAAAAAGTTTTATTGTTTATTGAACATAAAATACCTATCAAAAATCTATCACCTAGCAACGATAGTCACAATTAACAACAACCACCAACAAAATAGTCACAATTAACAATGATGACAACAGCCAGAACAGTCACAATTAACAACCACCACCACCACCAAAACCAAACAAGTTAGCACGTGAAGCGTGTTAGCTGCTGCTTTCAGTGTCGTTGGTTAGGCTTTCTGCAAGGTCACTTAACCCAGCTTTGTTCAGTGCAGTAATCAGATTCTCAGGGGTTGCATGTGCACCCTCCTGATCCTGCCAGGCAACCAGCAGCTGCTTAGCTCTCATCTTCATGTCCTCACTGTCTGACTCAATCTGCCGTATATCGGAATCCTTCATTTCCAAGTAGGGGGCCAAGGCCTTCCACTGCTCCCCGAGCCTTGTCGCAAATGACTCAATTTGTTCGCCTGTCATGGCTTTGTCCCGTTGTACCTCTGGACCTGGAGACACAAAAAAAAAAAAAAGAAAAAAAAAGTGTGAAAGAATCAGCAAGACACAGGGAACGTCTCCACATACTGCAATGAATCTTCCCTGATCTGCCCCATTTTAAACCTCCTATTTATTTACTAACAGACTGACTTAAACCTTTCCTTTAGTTGTTAAAACCTACTCAAGACCTCTGAGAACAGATGGATTTTTACAGATTTACTACCTGGGTTTCAAGAAGAATGTCCCTTATTGCCCATGATAAAGAAAATATTGGTTTTTATGTTGTTATCTCCTGTTTGATTGAGAGAGAATTGCTAAAACCTCAAGTATATCAGAACTGCCCCCTCCAAATGAAAACAAGGATTCTGACAGGCAGCCTGCAATTTTCAATACATGAGTCAACTATGATATTAAAATAGAGTGATCTTTAACATTTAATTGTCTTTTGGACTTATCTTAGTCACTTTACTCAAGAGTTAACCCAGGTAAAAAATAGTTTGCTTCCCTTTTACTGAGTTACTAAAGCCTCATGTTCCTATTAGCAGCAGGACCGTGAATAGGATAGTAACTTTAATAGGTAGTCAATTCTTAAAGGAATTTTCTGTCATTCTGGCATCAAGATAAAAGACATGGAATACTGTGTTCTGCTGAGAAGACAAGTGCTGCAGTGATCAAAACATCACTTGTCATGGTCTACAATCTATGGCTTACCACCTATGTTTATTACATGCTTTTAAAGAAAAAACCCTAACAACTGCATTACACATAATTACTGCATAGAAAGTAATCATATCCTTAGTTTTTAGTAAATATCTCACCCTCATGCCACCTGAAGAGCCAGCTGGCATGGAGTGGAAGTTTCAACTCTCTCCAGTGCTTATCAGTCACACTCATTTATCCGAGCTAAACTCACTACATCAAGGGGAAAAGAATGGACAATCACGAACAAAACAACAAAAACACTCCAATCACTTCCCTTATTTCTAAGCACAATGTTGTATAGCGGATGACAGCTCTGCCATCTTGGCTTTAAGACAAGATGTAAAGAAAGATGTAAAATCAACACAGTGAAGCTCCGAAGGCTGCATCAGGCAGTGTTAAGCTGAAGACGAGAGAACTTCTCCGCTATTGACGGGGAGACTGTGGAAAAGGTCTGGTGCTGGATGCAATAGGGCACTAGGAGAGAGATTCAGAGGCCCACAGGCAGCTTTCCACTAACAGAAAAATCTTCCAACAAAATTACCAGCGGCACCCGGTGTGTGCCTTCCATGCCCTGCACACCCCATCAGCCCATGCTGGATCCAAGAGCTAGCACACAGAGATACAACACGCAAGGGAGAAGGTGCTGTGAGATGAAGGCATGAATGAGGATGGAAGGCGGCAGACTTACAGACACGGGAGACAGGGAAGGACACTTGGGAGCATGACATACCAAGGTTACAGGCAAGAGGCAAAAATGGACGGACTGGTTCATGGAGAGGAATGAACAAGAGATAACATTTGTCAGGAAGATTGCTCTTCTCACAGACAAGCTTTTGCCTTTTAAGATATTTTAAATGAAGAGGAAGTAAAGATCTCAGAGTTGGAATATATCCATTTCTGAAAGTCCCATAACTACTCACCCCAGCAGGGGCTAGAGGGAAGCACGTACCCGTGGCAGTTAAAGGGCAGAAAGAACAGGAAAGCGGGGCGAGGAACACTCAGGTAGGTTTTTACACAGCAATGCTAGCGTTTCAGCTATAAACACCTACTAACACTGTAAACATACACCACATAGCAGAAAAGGTAGAAAAGGCTCCTAATTCAAGTGCTACTCCAACTCCAACAAGTTGGATGCTTTCAGCGCTGCAGGCCACAAGACTGAGAGGTTGCTACTGGTGCCCTGTGTCCTGAAAAGGCTGCACTTCTTGGTGTGAATGCAGGTTCAAGTTAGGAGCACTGGGGTAACCAGGACTGGTGACCCTCAGTAGAAACTATGCTAAAACACAGCTTCTACAATACACATCAAGAGAGAAACTGAAAAGACTGAGAACATGCAAATCTTACTTTCATTGTTTTCCTTTAATAAAGCATCATTATCTTCCTCATCTTCATCTTCGCCTGTTTTTATTTCTTCAGAAGGAGGCTACAATGAAAGAACTAAACATCACTGGATGAATTTTGTGTTTAAAGAGAAATTTCACAGCTCTGTGATTGTCTCTGGAATGTGTGTTAGGATGGAAAACCTCACATGATCCCATATGAGATTTAAAAATCCCCCAGTCTCCTGTATCCAAAACACCAGTAATAAGTGTTCTAATAAAACATACTATTAACTAAAAAACCTAATGAAAGTATCCACTGACTTCACAGGATTCTCTCTTTTTCATAGTAACTACAACTAAGTATTACATACCTAGTTTTATTACTTACTTTAAAAAAAACAACCAACCAACTTTCTATAACACCACTAGCAATAAACTTTTTTAATTCTTCTTCACTAATTTTACTCCTCGCTCCAAAATTCCTCAAAGTTTTCTGTACTTTCAAACTTCTTAAATGTGGCAAATAAATACGCAAACAATAAACTTTTCACTCTCTGATTTAGCTATTGATCAGCCAAGATGAACAAAGGGCTTCCTCTTTTCCTACATTTCAATCACAGGCCTTATCTCTGTATTTGTTTCTTGCCACAACATTTGGTACATGGCAGTAGTACTATCAGAAATATTACATAAAGTGATACCTTAATATATTAAACAGCTCTCCCCTCCCAGTATTTTTTTTCTAAAATTGCTATTAGCATCTAGTTAACTCTGATGGCTGAACAAACAAAAAAGCTATGTATTACAATCCAACCTTTACACCTCAGTAGTTTCACATTACAGACAAGGAAGGTCTCAAATATGGAAGCATGGGTTCATATCCGCAAGAAATTGCTGGGTTGTGTGCTAAGTCAAAGGTTTAGAAAATGCTCCCTTTTCCCAACTCCTAGTCTCTCTTATCATTGTGTGTAAAGTGATCCGAAAGACCCCTCCCTGGCCTCAAATTTGTATGTGAAAGGGTTAAAGCCTTAAATTTACAGCTCCACAAGGTCTATTTTTCTTTACATATTTTAAAAGTCAGGAAGCTGATAGAAAAGCTCTGGTAAATCTTGCTGTAAAGCTCTGGTAACACTTAGCACAGTATCTTCAGCTGTACACCCTGTCCCTTTTACTGCCATCCCAGTAGCCACAGCTACTGATATTCATGAGCCCTAACACTGGCTTATACCTTCAGTAAAAGTGGTTTGCACCGCAACATGAGACCCAAGCAGCTGGGTACAAATATATTCCTGTCTACCAACCCAGCAGAAAAACTTGGGATTGCCACAGCTGTTTGTTCACAGAATACAAGGCAGAGCTCAGCAGTTACTTGGCGAGCCAATGTTATTCAGTTTAGTGTTACTGGGATCTTCATCAATTAGACCAATTTCACTTGCAATTTTTACTTTACAAGCTTTTCTTCCCCCCTGTGTTTTTTTGCTCCCCTCCCTCCCCATGTACCAAATGGACTGCAGAGAGACAAGCAGGAAGTCAAATGAATTCAGCATTTATTATTGTAGGATAATATTACTTACAGGCAGCTCCTTGGCTAATTTGATTACCATATTTTCTAGATATTCAGGTAAACTCTTGAATTGTTGGTTTGTTGGCTGGAAGAAGTGGGGACTTCTGCGTGCTAGAAGTCTTAATGCTCTCCAGCCATAGTTAGAATTGTTCACAGCCCTATAATAAAATACAAGTTTGGTTGGTAACAGTCTGTCATCTATAAAAGCACAGAAAAAGATCTGCGTAATTTCCTGATTGTAATTTTGGACAGAATTATATTAAAGTTTTTTGTATGTTACTAGATTCCTGTACAGATATTAACAATACAGAGAGAGAACAGTCTGTTTTCTTTAACAATCCAAACATGAAAGAGATCGAAATAAAGCAAAACACAACAAAAATTAACATACTTGTACTTATTTTCAACCATGTTTTCAGGATCTGCTTGTTCAATAGCTTCTTCAAAAAATTCCTCTAACGTTGGCATATATTCCCTAAAAAATAAAATAAGGAGCTTTAATACTCCTCAAAATCTACCCTAAAATATCTGGTTTTCAGTTCCTTCATACACATCTCAAATTTATCCACAGAAGAAAAAAAACCCCAAACCCAACCTACTCAAACTTAACAATTGAAAATAAGCAAAGAATCTGTTTGATACATGTTGCTATAAAATTATTTACTGCATAACCACTTAAGCATACCAGTAGTTGCTAGCACTGCCTATTATATGTATTTAAACCTTCTGCCATACCAAAAGGTGACATGAACATCTTGTCAATAGCATTTGGTGAAAAAGGACTATGGGACCTAAGAGAAGAATTTTGGCAATAAGGAAATGAGACTTTCATAAAAATACCCCTAACAACTGACTGTGCTCAGGAGTCTAAAATGGTTGTTAGTTTTGTGCAATTTGACAGGACAGGATAGTAAAATGTGGCCTTTTTAACCCCCATTTCAGTTTCATCTGCTACCAGAGATACCTAGACTACTATTACTCCCCAATTTCAATTATTTACAATCACTAATTTTATAGGGGGGAAAATATTAGGCAGCTTAATGTTGTGTTGAATGATCCCATCTTAGTGGCTTCCTGACTTGCTCAAGTACATGTTCATTTCACCCCCCATGGTGATTCTTGCACCTTCTGCTGAAGGTACTTCAGTTAAAGTACATTCAATACAGGTCCAAAGTCTACAGGCATCAGCAGAATTTGTCTGAAGCGGACTGAAAAGCATCTGAACTCCTGGACTCAAAGAGATGTGATCAGTGTCATGAAGTCCAGCTGGCGGCCTGTCACTAGCATGTGCCAGGGCTTGATACTAGGGCTGGTACTATTTAGCACCTTCATTACTGACCTACTGATGATGGGACAGAGTGCACCCTCAGCAAGTTTGCAGACAATGTAAAACTGGGAGGAGTGGTTGATAGACCAGAGGGTTTTGCTGCCATTCATAGAGAGTTCAATGGACCATGATGTTCCTGACAGCCAATTCCTCTGGAGTTCAGGAAAGGGAAATGCCAAGTCCTGCCCCTGGGGAGGAACAACCCCAGGCACCAGTACATGCTGGAGATTGACTGGCTGGGGAGCAGCTTTGCAGAAAAGGTCTTGGTGGACAACCATCATGAACATGAGCCGGCGATGCACCCTTCTGGCAAAGGTGGCCAGTGGCATCCTGGCTGCATTAGGAAGAGGGTTGCCAACAGGTCAAGGGAAATGATCCTTTCCTTCTATTCAGCACTGGCAAGATACATCTGGAGTGCTGGGTCCAGTTCTGGGCTTCCCAGTGCAAGTGCTTTCCCTGTGCAAAAGGCTGTGCATGGACAGAACATCTGACATCCAAGCAGAGGCTGAGGGAGCTAGGACCATTTACTCTGGTGAAGAGAAGACTCAGGGGCAGTAAATAAATACCTGATGGGGCAGTAAGGAAGAAAGAGTCAGACTTGATGTTACTCAGTGAAAGTACAAGCAGCAGCCGGCACAAATTGAAATACTGGAAATTTGACTTAAGCATCAGAAAAAAAAACTAAACCACTTTTCTGTGAGGGTGGTCAAACACTGGAACAGGTTGGCCAGGAAGGCTGTGGAGCTTTCACTCTTGGAGAGACATTCAGAACCTGACTGGAGAAGGTCCTAGGCAACTTGATCTAGTTGACCCTGCTTTGAGCAAGGGGGTGGACTAGCTGATCTCTACAGGTCTCTTCCAACCTCAGCACTTCTGTGATTTAAAAGACAATATTTGTGGTTCATAGGGGACATATTAAAAAGGTGAAAGGGATGTTTCTGTTCTTAGAACAGCTAGCGGTTGCTTCTGAAAGGTATTCAAACCAGTACATAAGGAACCACGACCTAAAAAAATAACAGAAATATTCACAGTGATCAGGACAGTTTGCTGCTATTAACACTACAAGCAAGAAATACAGATTATTTAAGAGCTGTAGGTACTGTGAGCCAAAATTATCAGTGGTGCAAAGCAAGCTCATGATGATCTGTATTTCTCCTACCTAATGTTTGACAGAGACATATCTGCTTCTACAAGGGAACCTAGTGATCAGTTGTGGGGGTGGAAGCACACTGGTCTACAAATTCACATTAGTTTTATTTTGAAAAACACATTTTGCCCAGGAAAGCAGTGCCCCATGCATGTTTAAATGTGGTATTATCACTGACTATGGGAACCAAAGCCAGCATCTTGAAAACCCATCTGATTTAAATCCTGCTATATTTGGCATTATGCAAAAACATTAGAGTTTTTATCCCAAGAACAGCTATGTAAAAAGAAGACAGGTAAGGAAGTATTACCCCATTTGAATGAAGACATGGGGAATCAAAGCAAAAAGTTGCAGTCACTTGACCACGTTCAGTCACAAAGTCTGTAATAAAACTTGGAAATGAATCCAGATCCTCCAGGATCTTCTCTTTCCTGTTTACCATGGCATGCAATTTTCTTGGTTTATCTCCATTTGTTTAGTTTCAGGGTTTTTTTTTGTTTGTTTGAGTTTGTTTATTTATTTAAAGAAGTTGCAGCACAATACAGTCATGCACAGGGAATCAAAAGCTTTGTTTCCAAACACAGCTCCACTGTGTTTAGCCCTTGGCCCAGTAAAGTCAAGTATTCTGTCAGAAGCCTTCCTGCACATCCCGGCCTCACAAGAAAGGAAGGCACTCCTCTGCAGAGCTCTCAACCTCTGGAAAAGCAATTCCTCCACTCAGGACACCTGCACAGCTAGCACCTCTCCCCAGGCACCAAGCCTTTGCAGCCACCCAGCCTTTGCAGCCACTACTAGCAAAGTTCTCTTTGGGAACTGTCCCATTCCTTTTCCAAGTTTTCATACTAGGTACATACTGCACAAAAGGGGATTATGCTATCTTTAACAAATAGAAAGTTACATAGCAAAGTACATTTTCAGTATTTCCTACAACTGTGCAAGCGGAAGGATAACCAATAATTGTATTTTTCTGCATCTGCACCACTAGTAGATCCTGTATGCACTGGAACAATGCCTGCTAGCCAATTTCCTCTTATCTAGTATTGTTCAAAGCACATGCCTGCTTGAAAATCATAGCTAAACAGCATGCTAACTTCATTAGAGCCAGACTTAGCAATCTTACAAAATGGGGATTTCCATCTGGGTTTTAGCTTAGATTTTACTTTACTAAGCAATGAAAACACTAGTGAAGGAAACCGTAAGGAGATTTTAAGACAAAGATTCGTACAACCAACTTCTCTCAAGACACAGAGTTAAACAGCATACCATATGAGATCATCTTGTATACTTTCCTTATACCGATTTTCCAATAACTGTAATTTCATGTGCAATTAGAGTGCTGAAAGTTAGCTTTAGACAACAATGTATCATCTTTTACCTACCTATTCTCAGATTTACAAGCTTCCATGTTATCAGGACATAAATTCCAAAGGCGGGTCAGTTCCTCACTGAAAAGAGAGGCATAAATGCATATGAAACTCCACATTCATCATTCTATCATTCCACACTCCATCATTCAAAGACAGACACACGAAACAACGCTACAGAAATTCTCACCCCAGAGCCTTTATAATAAAGCATATCATACGAGCTTTGTGATACATACATATTAGGAATTACGAGAAATGACAGAAATTTTATCTGATGTTGCAAATTAGGAAAATTACGTATTAAATTTCTATTATAATCTCTTGCTGATCTATAGTCAGAAACAGTAACAAACTCTCCTTCCAAACTAGCTAAGGTCAGGCTATTTTGTTTTGATAAATGAAATAATTTACCACTTTCTTTTTCAGAAGGGACATTTTACTAAACACTCAGTACAAGGTCTTGAAGGTCAAGTTTCCACATCTAGGTTGGGTGAACTGTTAGAATGAATAGACTATCATTCCTCCTAAAGGAGGAAGTGAAAAAATGCAGCACTTAGTGTCATGCAAAATATGGCATTTTTATCGGAGAGGACATATCAGGAAGAATTCTTCGCCCCAGGGATAAAATACCAGTGGGTGTTATTTTAAAACCCATGGCACAGATAGATTTTAAGCAAAACCATAAGGACTACAAAAGTATAAAAACTGATCCAATGAGTACAAACCACTGATTTTCAGCCTGTAACTTACAGACTATTTAAAAGGGATCTAAAGAGATGACTGTAAGGAAAGGAAGCCTACTGCAAGTTTTAAAAGAACTGATATATCCCTTGGCTGTTCTTTCCTGGCAGTTGCAAAATGAGGATGTTTGAAAATTATTGACTAGAAAATACAGTCAGTGGCAAAAAAAAAAAACAAAAACCAACCCACAAAAAACCCCAGACCAACTAACCAACCAAAACCCAGAAACCGGGTAACAAAAAAATATTCAACATACTTCCCCATAAGGATTTTTTTGTTTGGTCCTTTTCCTAAGAAGTCCTCTGGAGCTGGCCTCTTTCTCACAGGCCTCATTGGCTTAGAATCCGGAGGTCTAAAGCAAAAAAAAAAAAATAAAAAATCATCTCTTTAGTATCAAACCAGTAACATTCAGAGAACAAAATTAAGCCACTTCACTTCAGCTGGTGACGAGTTTAATTATGATTAATGTATTCAGAAGGACTGGGATTCCAGGAATGGAACAAGGGAGTGGGGCAGAGGAGAGAGAATGTAAAGTAAGGAAAAGTATTTGCCAAACACCAGAATTAGTTCACTCACAAATTTAAAGGTCTATCAGAGTCCTGATATAGAAAAAGAAGCAAATCATGTTTATGCCAGCAGCACATAGTTAGTATGATCTACCCTGCTGCTGGGATCATCTGTTCTATGACTGCAAGTTCTCTTTCCCAAGGTGCATCTGATTTCATGGGATCAGAGAATGGAGATCCCAGACCACTGAGGCTAGGGTAAGACCTACCCAAGCTGAAACTCTGGCTGAGATCTAAAGAAGGAGACAGAACATTTGTAAAAGTCAAATTTCATAATTTTACTTCTCACCACCTCCCAATAGTAATTTCTCTCTTCTCACAGCCCCTCTTCCTTTTTTGCAAACAGATGAAGTCATGAAAAGGTGGCTCCACCTGATCCCTCCATAAAAGGAAATCTTCAAAGAGAGATTGACCCAGCTGCTCCCTACCACAAAGAGGCTACAGTCTGTGTGTAGAATAAATAAGGATGGAAGAGGAATGTTTGGGCACCACCTCAAGATAGTCAAGTAGACATATGGAGTCAAAGTTCAAGTTTTGTCACTAGTTAGTAACCAATAACACAGGAAACCTTGCAATGGCAAAAGCCACCTAATCATAATTTCCTTTCAGGTAAGCAATCACCACCAAGTATCAAACCTAACAAGGTACATAAGAGGAGAACTGTTACACAAAACTCCAGGTATGCTGCCCCACCAAAGCCTTAACACCAAAGGCTTCATTAGAGGCAATCCAAAGCAGTATATAGAAGTCAGGCACTAACTTCTTGAACCTAGCATCTGCTGAAGGCAGGAGGGGAGACAACATGCTTCAGTCTCCTCAGTCACTGGTTCCTTGGTATTAAGAGAACAAAACATTGCCATGAGACAGTGCGGAATGTTCTCCTAAGACCCCGCACATACATAACCACTGCTTCACTAACATAATGAAGCCTTAAGACTTCTGGCAGAAATCTAGGAGCCTTCTGCACACACAGAAGGGACATTCTTCTATGCAAATCTTGTGTGAATCATTAATGTTCATGTACATCGTGGGTACATATTCTGAAGTTGAACCACCATTTCAAACAAGCAACAGCAATCTTCTACTTCATAATAGTTACCTTTCTTTCACAAAGCTTGGGCAGCCCTCATTTTTCCATGAGTTCCAGTTTTCTTCAGTATTTAATATATGCTAGAGAAACATAATATTGCACATATTAGGGTCATAATCACCTTCAGAGTTGACCCCAAAGTTTTTAATTGAGCTATTACAATTAAAGAGAAAACTTTGTTATTTTGTATTTCAGCCACTATTTTGAAGGTCATCAGTATAATCTTAGGCAGCTGGTTTAGTTTATTCAAAAATAGTGTCGCTCCTCTCTTCAATAATTGTGGGAAAGGCTTTATTTCTCCTTTTCTAAACAAGAAAATAGAGGCAGCCAAAGTAAAGGAAAAAATGAAAGCAAGACGACAACTTTTTTTTTTTTTTTAATTTCCACTTGCATCTTATTGCCATGTCTCTGGGCACAGCACTCCTTTCTGTAAAGACTTTTTAAATTTTTTTTTTTCCCCCAACAACCAATGTCTCCTGTGTGTACACATGCACATATATGCACATTTCCATCTCTCCCCAGGAGAAGGAAAAGGACATTAATGAAAACATGGGAAAAATGTGACTACAAAATAAAAAAGATGTTATGAGACCTTTTTTACTGAGATGAGATAAAAGTTCTCAGACATGACATCTATGTTCCAAAAGCTAGTTTAAAACAATACTGCTTTTTTATGCTCTATATAGACTTTATTCAGACAGGCACCAAAGTACTTACCTCTACCATTTTTGAGAATCTTTCCCCATCTGGAGGATTTTCTGAAAGAAGCTATGATTGGGAAGGAGGAAAAAAGTTAACTTTTTGCATTAGATTTATACAGATACAGAATATATAGAAAAAAAAAAACAAAGAAAATGGTGGTTACTGCTTCAAAGGTCACTGATACAGCATTACACAATAAATATTTTTCCATGTAATTTTCATAGAAGTATCTACCATACCAACCTGGTAAACCGCTTTTGTAGTATCTTCAATCCAAAGAGACTGTTCATCTGTTAGAACATAGTTTGAACTGGAATTGGAAAAAAAACCCAAAACCAATGAAACAAAAAATCAACAAAAAAGTGTCATTAAATCAGCTCTATTTTCTTTTTTTCTTTTTTTTTTTTAAATTTGAAGAGTTTACTACACACCAAAACAGTGCTGAGGACACATCATTTACACTACATACTTTCTGAGGGTCTTTAGAAGGGATCTGAAGAAAGTAGTTTGAATGTGCTCTGGTCTGGTCCCATGGACTGACCACTCATTAGTTTGTGGAGTTAATTAGATGTGCTTGTGGAATATACTTTCAGGTTTAGCTTCATCCAATAGCAAGTCCATTTGCATGATTCAAGATCACACCAAAGCACAGCAAGTGGGTGCAATGAAAGGCTTACTTAAAAAAAAACCCCTCTCCTAACCCCAGCTAAAGCAGTACTGTAGACAAACTATAGTAAAAGAAACAATCTACCAGCTGTATACAGAACACAGACCTTGAATACCTCAAAACATGAATTCTATATAGCATAACCTGAAGTCTTTAAACAAGTTGCTTGGTACATCTAGAATTATAATGCAATCAGTAAGTAGAAGTGAAAAGAAAGGAACACAGTAATAAATCCAACATGGTCTACTTCATTCCCAAGCAGAGACCAGAACTTTTTTTAAATGCATTAAAAATCAGATGAGAATCTAATATTTGTTTTTCACTGGTTCAAGAAGAATCCATTTGAAGTATAACTATTAACAATGCATTTACAGTGTTCCAAAGCAATGTAACAGCAACCAGCTTCTTATGAAGCACTAGGTACCTTAAGTAGCAAATACAAACATGATAATGGCTAAGTCAATAACATGAGAAAGACTTTTAGAACTAGCTTCTCTTAGTTAATAGGATATAAAAAAGCTCATCTTTTTTAAGGAAGGGAATAATTAGTATTATTTTACAACAACTGCACCAAGTGTTATACTATACCATTTATATATCACACCATCCTTGACCACTAATAAGAGTGCTTTTAATGAACACTTCAATGAACTGTCATTCAAATGACTAACTATCACCTCCACCAGACTGAACTGCAATTCAGAACACATGAATTCTATTCCTCCTCTGCCACTGGACTGCTTTGGTAAATAATCTATAGAATGAGGATAATGATCCTAATCTAGTTTGCAAAGTTCTTTGAGATCTGTTTATAAAAAGCAGTATATTGCAGGTGAAAGACAGCTGCCTTTAATGTTAATCATTATATGCAAATATAATCAAGGGCACAGGAAATAAACAGAGAGTTAGGATTTTCTTCAGCATAACATTAGAGACTAGGATAATCACCGCTGTTATTTTTTGCTATTTTAGACAGAATTCTGTGGCACACTAGGAAAAACAAATCAGCAACCAATGCCATATTTCAGAGTCAATATAGATTCCAAATGATGCCACATACAAGCTTGCATTGGTCTAACAACTAGCAGCTGCCAAAGATAATCCTTCCCTCTCATGGCTGGCACTCACCTTAAGCAAGCTTTAGTGGCCTCTACTTCTCAGAGACCCCACTCAACTCGCCAATTTGGCAGAAAACTAACTCTGCAAAGACGAGCAGAGTGGGTTTTTGCTAGTTTAGTAAACTGCATAAATTTGAGTGAGTCTAATGAACACTAGAGCCACTGCAACGGATGACAAAGAATCACACAGAGAAGAGCAGAGAAAGGCAAGAATGAGACCTCTGCTTTACTGCTATAAAATAACTTCAGCCACATCCTGTATTTACCAATCCAAGGCCCTGCAAGTTTCACAAGAACCTTAGAACAAGTAGGCATAAACTCCTTTAAAATATTTTGGTTTATCTCCAAGTTCTTAGCTCCTTATCCCCAAAACACAATATATTTCCACATTACCTTTTAAATTTGACCTGTCCCTTTAGATACTGAAATAGTATTAAGTACTGCAACAAGATGTGACGGCGAAAGTTACTGTCACTCAGCTGTAAATCCATCAGCTAAACAACAACAACAAAAAAGAATTACACGTTAAAGAGACTAAATACGTGTAAGTGAAAAAAATCCAACAAATGTTTTCAGATAAACTCCATGGAGACTGTTTTTACAACAAGATGATGGTAAGCCATTACAAAAGCTCTATTCGGTACCACCTATACTTTCAGGACAGTGCTTCACAAGGTACTAAGATGGGTAAACTGTCATCTAGCACAATTTAAGAAAGACCAGCAAAATTTCTAATTAAATCACTTTTTAAAAACACGAGGAACTGTTTGTAAAAGTATCCCTAGATTTTTAACTGGTTTCATACTGCTGGATTTAACAACATTCACTTTGAAGTGAACAAGAATTTGGAAAAACAAATATTCAAACATTTCAGTAACTGAAGGACAGCTTGCTCCCTTCTCCTATGAACAACTGGCTACAACGTAAGGATTCAGCTACCACAGAAGCATTCACTCTCATCAACAATTGCACAGTGACACACTGCTTGGTTTCTACCCTATGTGCTGCAGCATGATACATCATACAAAGGGAGCATTTGAAGATTCTTTAAAGAAAAAGGCCTTTGACTACTGGGTGTTAATTAAGCAACCAGTTCTGTATCTTCTATACTATTTTATTTTAAAATTGTCAATACATAGGTCAAAGGCTTATGATGAATTTACCTACTCTTGTATCCCATAAAGAGAAAACTCATGCTGCGCTGAGACTTGCTTTCTGTCATCTATTAATGCATGTATTTAAAAGTTAGTTACACATTATTCCAAAATGAAGACAACAATTTTAGAATTAAATTCAATAGAGCATTGTATTTTTGACTTAATATCAACAGAATTAAAAACTCTCAAGATTTTTTTCAAAGCAATTTTAAACAAGACCATTATGAGGCAGAAAATACAGTTAGCACATCATCAGCCAAGTTTTGAAAATGTAATTCTAAAGGCAATAAAAAAGCAACAGATTTTTAAATATTTACTCTCTTTTAACTTCCTTTTCTAAATGTAACAGTACAAATCAAATGCAATACATCAGCTTTATTGCAGACTCTTATTCCAGAAATAGAAGTCCCTCAATCATCAATTAACAGAGGCCATCCACAAAGAAAGAATAAAATAAAAAAAGAACAGAATAAATCTATCTAAATCAAGTGATCAAACAGTGTAATGGGATACCCAGAGAAACTCTGGAGTCCCTATTTGCGGAGACATTAAAAATCCAACTGGACATAGCACTGATCAACCTGCTCTAGCAGAGAGCTTTGAGTAGGGAAGTTAAATTAGACACAGGTTCCTTCCAACCTCAATTAGTCTGTGATTCTGAGGAAAAAATAAAAACAAAAATCACATACCTTTTCACTAGTTAGGAACTTTGCAAAATATACATGTTCTCCTCCTGTTTTTAATTCTTCCAACTTTTTTCGGGAAGCCTGAGTGTCATCCAATTTGTAACTTTTGAAAACAGCCAAAACTTCTTCTGAGTACTATAAAACAAGAGTTACTTGCCACATGAAAATAACACAAAAACTCTGTAGTTAGATAACTACACCAGACTCAGTGCCAAGCAAGTGAAATAATTTGGAAACTTGCTATCAGCCAGTCAAAACAACCCATTTACCACCAATATATAGGGCTTCTCTGAACACAACAAATGACAGTGAAAGTGTTACTTATCATTTCAGAACATCTAAAAATTTGGAGTATTCAAAATGTGCTAAGAAAAACAGTGTTGCAGGTTTTGAACAGTGTACAATTGCTTTGTTGTTTACATGCTACAAAGAAAAAAGGTCCACATGACGACAATGCTATATTCAAACTCAATTTAAGTTGTTCAGAATGAAAGGTAAATCACTGAGAGTCAAAATTGCAGTGCTGCTCGTCAAAAAAATCAGTTCAGAGCCTTAAAGCTGCAATGAAGAAAAACTAAAAAATTGCATCTGAAAGACTTAAGCCTGGCCTTGTTCAGTTTTTCTGAACCACATGTGGGGTTTTTTTTGTTTGTTTGGTTTTTTTTTTTGACAGCTGAGAATGTATATACCTCATTAACTAGATTTATATTAGAATGTCTGAGCAGATGTTACTTCTTATTACCAGAACACAGAGAATAAAGATTAAAAAAACCCAACAGGCTTCTTGCTATTAAATAAACACTGAGTGACAAATCGTGAAGAAACAGTAGCTTAGCAATAAATCGTCCTCAACATTCATACTAAGCAAAATTGAAGCAACTGGCTCAAGCGGACATTCAGGTCAATGCTTCTATAAAGAGATTTGCTTTGTTAGGAACCTATCATCATCTTACGATCCCCCTGGGATCAATATGACTATTCAAAAGTAAGATCTAGGACTAGGTGAAACTGTTTATCCTCTTGGGAGGGGGGAACTCCAAACCCACAAGTTCTGCTTTTTGCAGCTGATAAGTCACAAAAACGGTACTTCTGACATTGCAATGTAAGAAGTCTTTCTGTTATTGACTTACACAAGTTTTATTAGGGGATTTACAGTACATCTTAATATACTGTTTACCATCAAAGGCTCACTTTAGAAAACAGCAAAACGCATTTCCTCATGCACTATTATTTTTCAATGACATTAGCATGTGAACTGTTCTATGCTTATGCAGTCACTCTCCTACTTGTGTAAACAGTGATTTTAACTTAGGCTGAATGGTTGAAAGCACGAACTCAGATTACCTTAAGAAAAGTTTTCCATGAGACCTTCTCATAGCACTGCACAGGATTTCTAAAATAATCTTGAAGTGACCAGAATTTTCTATACAGGTTATAATCTATTGGAATGGAACTGGGGACAAAAAAAAAACAAACACAAAAACCCACAATATTGAAAACGATATATTAAATTCAAGTCCACTCAGGAATTTGCAATTCCAGAAGATATCATTCATTTTGTAAGTGAAATAATGAGTGAATAGCAAGCCCTCAGAGAAATCTGCAATTCAGAAATTGTCCCTAAAAAGAGTTTTCCATCCAGTCTATTGTTACTTCCTCACCATAAAAGCAAAAATAGTAAGAAAAAGGGATCTTAGGAGTTTTTCACCATCTGGGGAATGAAGAGGAGCACAGCTTTTTCTCCTAAAAGCATATACAGCATGTACTAAGAATCCCTGAATACCTCTTACAAGAACAAGTTTTATCAAGATAATTTGGAAAATTGTCAAAAAGACAGAATAGCAGTGGTTCTCAGCCAGGGTATGCAACTTTTTCCAAATATCTGTAGATTTCTTTCTTTTCCAGGCAGCTCCACTTAAACCGATTAAGACACTGTTAGGTTGTATGTAATCTTGAGAAGGCAGGAGATAAGTAGAATTCCGAGTACAACATTTAAGGATATTTCCCAAACAGCTCCTTCCTTTCACTTCATAAAGTTTTATTTCAACTTTTAAAATTGCTGTAAGCTCACCAACTTGTTGGTGCTTCATCATCTCCCATTTCACCTTCTTCTACGTCCATTCCTTCTTCTCTCTCCTCAGTGTGCTAAGAGGAAAAAAAAATAATTTAAAACTTATACAAATGCCACTATAACGTGCATACAGTTTTCAGAGTGTTCTTTATTTTAAAGATTCTATTATACTTTAGATCAGAAAGCTTAAACTGGTAATTCAAGAGATCTCTAAAATTTTATTCCAGTAAAATGCGCAACAAATTCCTGTCTTAACGCCTTACTAAACTTTGCAATGGTAGCCTGACTTCTCTTGAAAAAAGCTGAAGGGACAGCTCTATACTCTGTACACTGTGGGGAAAACTTAGTACAGTACATGACAGTGCTTATCCGTCACAATCAAATCAACGTTTTCCCCCTCAAAGTCTGCACAGTTTAATGTACCAGGTAACATGCCTATTTCCAGAATCAGCTTGGTCTGGAAGAGGGACAACCAAATTATGAACATACAGTTCCAAACATTAAGCACAGTAGCACAATCTCATGCAAACAGTCTTACACGTTTACTGCAGAATGAGTGAAAACCAACAGGAATTTTCACCTTCTGTCCTAGAGTGCTCTCATGTTCGTTGGTATTGAAAACAGTGACATTTTCCAGGTTAAACTGACTCTGCAAGTTAAGTCCTGTGAAAAACAAAGGGTCAGTCTTAGAAGTTGTGAAGTTCTTAAGTCTGTTCATTCAGTTAGTTCTGAGATGCCGATATTAAAATTCTCAGAAACTGCATTCAAAACTCATGTTTGAAATCACAATAAATGAAAGTCACTCACAATATTAAGTGTACAGACAAGAACTAAGATACAAGTGCAAGGTGATTTTCTCCAATTGGATTTGGACTGCAACCATCAAACTTAAAAGATTCAGCATATTTTGACTTTGTCAGATGTTAAGTGCGATGAAATGCAAAAAAATCTCACCTGACTTTTCTGAAAGCGGAAATAATCTAGCCAAGAACAGCTGAATTCTTCCACAGAAGACTGTGTTTTGTGACTTAGATAATCTTCTTAGAAGGTCTAAATATTGTAAAAAGAATATTAGTATTTATCCCTCTTTCAATTTCTCATACACTAGAATTCAAGACTTGCTAATTACATGACCTACATAGCTAATGAAAGGAAGCTAAGATTTGTAAATTTAAATGCTAGTAACTTCCTCAGATCAGCCATATTTTTTCCAAATGCATTCTACCAATTGTCCTAACATCTTCAACAGCAATAAATTCAAATGAATCCTACTCAAATGCAGCCTCTGATATGGGCCTTGTCATTGCTGAGAAATAAATATTTCTCAGACGTTCTTCTGTAACGACCTCCACTGATGAAGAGATTTCCCTAAGGTCAGAATGGCTTTTACATTAATCGGCAAGACTCACGAATATCTGCTAAGATGAATGATCTGCCTATTAACTTTATTACTTATTGAACACATCTGAATGCAAATCATATTATTAAACTCACTTTCATTTGCTGTGATAGGGAGTTCTTTAATTCCCCACCACCCCCCTGAAAAACTACAACTCACCATTGCACATTCGTAGCAAGTAATTTTTCCCTGCAGAGTAAAATGTATTCTGAAACAGAGTAAAGGTATTTAGATCATTAAGAGATCACAAAACCTTCCTAAGCAGAATTTTAATTCAATCACAAGCCATGAATAAGTATGAGTCATTCCTACTGTTAACTCCAAATTTGAGTCTTCGCTTAAATAAGGGGCAGGTTTCAGAAAAAGGCAACATAAAACAAGCAGTCCTAGAAATTCCAAGAAAGCTTAACACACAACATTTAAATCCAGCCTCCACACAGAAAAAACACATGTGACAATGAACTGTAAGAGCAGCATCCACTTTTTTTTCCTGGAACAGACTAATTTTTTTTTTTTTTTTTTTTTTTTTTTACACGCATTGCCTTTATTATTCCATGCATTATTTATACACAGAGGCAAAGAGCAATATACAAAAGATTTAGAGCATTCACAGTACTAGTAATTTGGCAGCAGGAGAAAGAAATTGCTAAATACTTGAACGAATGATAAAGAACAGTTTGTGAATATATCAGGGGACACAATGTTATCTGAAACAGAACAGCCTGAATGAATGCCTATGGGAGGTAGTCCTGGTTAGGAAATTCAGGTTAGGAAAACACAGAGAAACTACAATGCTTTTCAGGTGTTACCAAGGATACTGAGATCCAAGATTTCTTATGGTCTTGGAATAAAATGTGGGCAAGTTAGGACTTCTGCCTGAGACCATGAATTCCCTATTTAATTAACAGCACCCGCAGCACAAGAAGCTCAGCAGCCTATCGCAGCAGCTCTTCTGCTACAGCACCATGGTACAGCAAGAGCATAAAATGCTCATGCAGGCCTCAAAACACCAACTGCTCCTCAAGAGCAGAAATATTTTAGGGCAACATATTCACCACTGCTATAGTCCTGTAATGGAAAGCTCATTAAGGAAGTGACCAAGATGACTTCTTTCCCTGCAAATTGGAGATGGAAGAATCTCCTGCAGCTCTGAGGAAGAAGCTGAATAATAAGTCAAGAGAGAAGCTACTCATACAAATTGTCCATAAGAATTTAAATTTCCAGTTTCTAAATGTGACAAACACTGTATACTGTAGAGAAAGGAGTTAGAAATAAAATATCAAAATTATGATTTCTTTTATTATTAATTTTCTGACCTCTGCTGCCCAGACATTTTTAAGCCTCAAACCAAAATGTGCTCAATGCTACTATTTTAACACAAATAGATACAAAGACAGTTAAAATCTGTTTGTAAAAAAGGTTCAGGTAGACAGAAGCTTTGGTACAACTGTATCACATTTTGGAAAAATGCCTACCGATTTCCACGTAGCAACATTTTTCTCCACAAAAGTGAAAATTTTATCACACTGATCCAAAGGCAGGCAATCCAGAACATCCCCCAGAAGCACAAAAGGGGTTGATGCAGTGCAGATACCTATGACAAACAGGGAATACTTTATTCAGCAAATGTGAACTGAAATGCAAAGATGCATGGCAGTTGAGGGACATTATGTTAAAAAAAGAAAAAAGTTCTCCTGGGTTACTACAAATCCTATCCAAAAGCTTGGGCTAAAGCGTGAACTTTCATTGAAGCTATTTCTATATGTACACATATGCAGATGAGCTTTACAAGAGCTTTGCACTAACATAAAACAAGAAAGAATAACTGTTCTAAAAACCTCAAAGTCTGAAACAATGTCACATCTCTTTGCAGACTGCAAGTGAACTCTTTCAGACTTCTAAATCCACAGTTAGTTACACTACACACGCCCATGAATTTTGAGAGTCTTTTCCTCAGTAAAGCACCACTAAAACAGTGCTCCAAGTCTGCCTACCCACACTCCGTAGTTCGGTAGTGTCTCCATTCCTCATAATCACAGGTCTTGTTATTCTACAGTTCATAAAAAACATATGTAGTTAAGCTATACTTACTAAGACAAACAAGTATTTGATGTGTAATGTGAACAAATAAACAAAGGGAAGAGTGCAAAAACCCTTTCAGAAGGGATTATCACACTGATTTCTGACACAAGAGACAGATTCAAGTATCTAAAAACAGACATGTACCGACAGGCAGTACTGGGAGATGAGCACAGATATTCAGAAGTTATTTCTGTCTGCCAGCAACTGACAGAGAAACCTACAAGTCATTTAACCTCTCTGCCTCAGTGGTCTCATCTCTGAAATTATGATGGGAGACTTCTAAGCATTTTACAGGGTGGACAAAGATAGAAAATGCTAATTACGTTGCAACCAAAACCCTGCAAATTCCTCTATTAGAAAAAAAAAAAAAGATTCCAACGCAAATGTCACACATATAATTGAATTTAATTTTATTAGACTTCATTCCTCTCGTGAAACAGACTTAACCACTAGCATAAGGGCCACATATTATCAAAGTCAACCGCTGTAGATGACTTACAACAATCAAGATTTAAAAATTCCCCTAAATGGTCCCTAAAACTGACAACAGATTTGAGAAAGATGCTCACCTTCTGTGACTCCATTAATAGCAAGAGAAATAATTGCCAGGAGATTTTCACACGGAGCTTTGTTTATCTAAACAAACAAAACAGTGTTAAACTTCTCTATTCTGACCTAAATATATCTAACAAAACTAAAGTTCTTGGTTCCAAGTAGGCATATTTGAAACAAATATTGACATTCAACTTCCCAAAACTTCAAACAATCTATTAAATCAGACCTGTCAGTTAACTATATGAAGTTTTTATTGAGTGAGCAACATTTCTTGACTGCTTCCAGCCATTAAAGACCCTACAATACCTACTGTATAGAGTCATTTACCTCTGAAAATTAATATACCACATGCAACCTTCATTCGAGTAATACCAACAAAACCTTTATTTGATTCCTTTCATCATTCTTTTCAGCTGACCGGCACCTTTGTTACCTGCTAGTAACAGATAACCCACTCCACCCCACACTTGAAGTATAGTTGTGGAATAATGCATATTTATGAACTAGAATTTTAAGATGTAGCAGACTTTCATAAGCACTATGAAGAACTGCTGGAAAAGGCTAAGTCAACACCTCTTACTATAGTGTGGTATCTGTAAAACACTGCCATTCTGTCCTACCTACCAATCTCCTTTAATCATCTATATTCAATGTTAATTAGATAACTTTTACATAATTCATGTTTTTAACAAACAGCATTTCCTTACACTAAAGTTGCTGTTAAAGTAATACATTAACTTGCAAATAGAAACTTGAGCTTTATCAAGAGATAAGCTGTAGCAGTTTAAAATACTTACTATTTCTTCTTCTACAATAACTCTAAAGGCTTGATCCAAGGTACACTTCTTTTCATTTTCACTGCAAATGCAAACATTCCACATCAGTTAACAACAACTATTATGGACAAGATTACTAAAAATTATCTGAGTAAGCACCTTTTAAAATCAAGCTGCACTTACCTCCCAGGAATCTGGTTAAATGTGTTCAACAATGGCTTGATACTTTTGTTATTCAGAGCCTCTCTAGTGGATGTCTACCAAAATGTAAAGAAAGAAAAGTTACAAAAGCAGAAGGATCTCCTCCTTCCTCTATCTGACAGTGGACAGAAACACTAAGGAATCTATTTGCCACATACCATGTGTCAGTTTACAAAGAGAACTTTGTAACAAGTAGGGCAAATAACAAGTGCCTAGCTAATTAGGCATGTGAGCCAGCTGAACATCACACCTCAAACCTGGACCAAGAGTGTGGTGAAAATAGTATTTCTAAGCAAAACACAGAGGAATATGCTGTTGTGACCAATACTGCATCTACAGCAGTCCCACAAACACAACTTCATCTGCCCCACAGGCAGGTTATGGTTATTTGGGACATGACTCCTGCTAACAAGACGGTCTAAAAATTACTGTAACAAAATAAATCTAACGGAGCAAGTGTCTGTGCTTAGACCGCTTCTGCACAAATCCCATCCCCTCGCCCAAGAAACTGGGCCGCAAACGGCAGGATCCAGAGGCCTAAGTACACATCCAGCCCCACCTGCTCTGGCAACGGAAAAGCATCATTCAGCAGAGGCGCAAGAGATAAGCACAATAAGCTACGGACGTTTTGTTGCTGGGGTTACGCCATAACTTCATTTTATTTTACATTAGTTTTAGTTAACTCAACAGCAGATCGTCCCCTTGGCGGGCTAGGCTGAGCCGGTATGAAGCCCTGTGCCCCAACTTATGGCGCGTTATCTCGGCTGCGCTGAAGGCCCGTTAAAGGAGAGCCCGGGCCCCTCCTCAGCGGGAGTGCCGGCCGGGCCTGCGGGCCCAGGACCGGGCAGAGGCGGCCCGACCCAGCCCGGCCGCGCATGCGGAAGGGGAGGCAGAGCCCCACACCGGCGCCCGGACGCCGTCTCCCGCCCGCCCGGTCCGGCTCCGAGCGGCAGCGAGGGAGAGGAGCCTCAACCCCCGCCCGGGCTCACCGTGAAGCGGAGCCGCGCCTCAGGCAGGCTGAAGAGCGGCGGCGACATCGCTCCAACCGAACGACGCTCCGCGGCGCGCGCCGATGACGCCATAGTCCTCCGAACGGCGCGGCGTACATCCTAGAGACCGCCCGCCTCCTCTTCCCCACCCCGGGCCGAGAGAGGGAGCACGGCACGCGGGCCGGCTGGGGGCGTGGCTGCGGGCGGCCGTTCCTGGGCGGTGCCGGCGCCTCGCTCCCGCCTCCCGCCTGGGGCCGAGCGCATGCGCGGGGGGCGGCTGTTGGGGCGGTGTGGTGAGCGCGGGAGCGGGGAAGGAGCTGGCAGCCCGTCGCGTTTGTCAGTAGCATGTTGTCAAAGTGAAAATTACTTTAAAAGGTTCAACGTGTGGGGGAGTGGCAGATGTGGTTGTTGTTTCTTGTGATAGCCACCTCAGAGCCACAGTCTGCCACCAGTTTCAAAGTATCACTGAAGGAAGAATAGGAATTTTTATATCCTTGGTAAAATCATCTCAGTGCTAACAATTCACAGGTTGAACAATATCGTATGGATACCTCCTTCTGAGTCACTTTTGATGGGAGTTTAATCATTGTTTCAGTGGTAAATGTCTGAAATAGCCCTGCAAAAATAAACGAATGTTTATTATGAAATTTGTAATTTTGTCTGGCTCACCTCCTTTAAAGACCACATTTTCTAGCTATCCTAAATAACGGTGGTTCCCAGACTTGGCTGTTCACAGTCCATTTCCAGGCTTGGGATTCTTTGTCTTCCCATGTTCAAGCTTGCAGCTATGAGTTGGGAACCCTTGCTGTGCAGTGTCCAGCCATAAAACCCTCCTAAATATATTCCTCATCGGCCTTCTCCTAGGACTCTCCAGGGCACCTCAAACCAGACTGGAGATATGGTTTTCTCCTAACATTTCTCAATCCTGCTTTCCTTCTTGCTGTCAACGCAGAATCATTTGACTCTCCTTCCTTTCCGTCTGGAAAAAAACATCCCAAACCAAAACAAAAAAACCCCACCCCACCTTTTCTCTTATCAGTTCTGAAATTCCTTAAGCAATCACTGTTATTAAAAACCCAGCTACTTGGCTGAGCCTGGCAGCCCATCCTGGTGATAAATGGCTCTCAAGATGTGTGACTAGCACTAAACAAACTGGTCTAAGTCTGTTTAGACTGTCACCGCGTTCCTGGGTGTGTGGCTGCCCTTAAATCTAAATTCCTCAACACAGCATACCTGTGTTGCAACATCAAGCACAACACTCTCTCCCCTCCCCCCAATATATAGTACAGCAAAAGTTTGTCACAAATTATCCCATTGTCATATGGAAAATAGCTTTTTAAACCCCAGCCTGTTCTACTTTGCAGTTAGAAATACAGGGACAATTCAGGCACCTAAAGAAAGGTGCCCAGTGCCATGTTAAACATCCCAGGGTACGGGAGACCTCTACGCAGTGCTGTCAGTTGAGAGCGGGAGCCATGGGACCTGCCTTCTTTTGAAGCAGCAGCTGAAGGCTAGGCAGGATGCCCTTCCACATGTAAAAGAGCACTAGAGACCTGAATTACATCCACAGAAAGTAATGGTGGGATTGATATGACCCTGCCGACGCCTGTCTCTGCATTCACCACAATGGTCTGATTTAGACAGCTAAGGTTAGGTGAGATGAATCCTATCCCAGGTGATGTGTTTTTCCTTTTTAGATGATACCAGTGTATAAAGACAGCACAGGGTTGACACTACACAGAACACATAGGAAATATGCACAGAAAATTGTTTTGCTGAACAGCATGGAAGATACTTTCATTTTCCTGCATCCCTTCCTATTTTTACTGTTAGGAGAGGCTGAGCCTGCCCTGATTCAAATACAAATAAGCTCATCCCATAGCTTTTTCTTAGCTAAATCTCATGGTAAGCACAGCGGTCATCTGTCTTTGTCACATAGCTATGATGGGCTGCTGGGAAGGCTGGAGGAGACATTTCTTATTTCTGTTGACTTTGCCACCTTCACCAGTGCATGAACAACTCACAGAGGCCAGAGTACCATAACCAATATTATTTCCCCACCCAGGCATGGTACACGCTGAAAACAGTAACAATGTGTTAGCCTCACAATACTGAGGAAACTCCCAGTGGAGCGGGAACATTGCTTCTGAGCTTCTGAGTTACAAATGGCCACTTTTAGTGCAGGAACATTGTTTTCAGATGAGCTACAAATGGCAGGTTTTTGAGCAAGAACATTGCTTTCTGTTGAGTTACAAGTAGTCATTTTTTGCCTCAGGAAAGAGAAATATTGGCCATTTTCATGACTCTCTTAAGTTGCTGAATTGGTCTGCACTGAAGATGCCTACCCAGCCAATTGTTTTTTTCTCCTCTTAACTGTCCTTCTTCAGTAGTCATTTATCTTTTAAATCTCTAGGAGAGTACGAGGAATTCAGCTTAGCACTGAAGCCCTCCATATTGTGGATCTTGCTCTTTTCCAGTACTGTAACATCAGGCTGTTGGTCAGTTGTGGTGTCTGAAGCATGACAAGTGCAGGCAGCCATCCTGCCCATCTCTGGCTCTTCACATGAGTGTTTCAGCGGTTGCCTTCTGCTGATGTCTCTGAATCTCTGAAGGCAACATGCTCACCTAGGGTGTCCCTAAGTTATGGCATGCAGTGCTCCGGTATATGCTTTGATTTCTATTGACAGGCTAAGAGCAGAAGTAATTTCCTGCATCCAGCTTTGTGGGCTGGAGGCTCCAGGTTTTCTCCACCATTGACCAGCAGGCTGGGATGGGCCCTTACTGCCTTGCTGGCAGAGAGTATCACACATATGCTTTGGGTTGAGCTGGCTGGGTCAGGGGGGTAGCTCACCCACCCCTGCCCACAGCCTGTGCAAGCTCAGCCATTTATGTCTACATTTCTCCCAGGACCCTTTCCAGCAGCAGAGCTGCCTGGGCCAAGGCAGTGTAGGGTTAATGTGCTTTTTGGGGGGTAGGTGTAGGAGGCAGCAGGAAAGGGTTCAATCAGCAAAGTTGCTTGCAAGAGGAGGGTCTGACCAGAATTATTGGGAGCATTAGAAAATGTCCGCCATTGCTAAGTTTTCCTTTTGTTTGTTTGTTTGTGTAAGGTAAAGGACTGCCATGGCTTCGGCCTGTGTTTTAATTCAGAGAACTGAGAGAAAGCCAAGCCTCAATGTTGTTTCCCAGGTCTCCTAAGCATGCTGTTTGTTGTCTGGCCAAAAAGCTCAGGTACTGCCAAAATCTTGTTCATAGGTGGAAAAAAGCTCAAACATCCAATATCCTGTTCATATTGAAAGAGGCAAATAATATTAAAATTCAATTTATTGTTATTATTAAAAGCAAATATTTAAAATAACTTCTGAAAGGATGGATGGGAGTAAGTTTTTCTATGTGGTGTGGCTGTAGTTAGTTCTTGTACCGAGAGAGGGAAGTGTTTGCCCAGAAAATGAAGGTGCCGAGTGAGGGACAGCTTGGCCTCTGCTTGGGAGGCTGGCGTGGGTGCTGCTCCACTAATGGGGGGCTGGGGGCAAGCCACCAGCCCAGAGTTTGTCACTTCATCTATAATTTAAACCATTGTCTGCCTAAAAAATGCGGGATATGTCAGAGCCATACCAGTTCATTTCAAATCATGGGGAAATGGGCTTCATAACATTGAAAACAGCCTCCACATGATTTGTCATTTTGAATGAGTCACCTGCATATACTATGAGAATATTATCCATTCCAGCTTGGAAGAAAGTTTACTTGGCTTTTTACAGAGCTTTTTCACTATTTCTCATCTCTTATTTTGAGAAATTAAACCATATTATCAGCTGAATAAAGGGCCATTCTAAATAAATAATTTGAGATTATTCTAGCCTCCACCTCTTTCTGTATGAAAGAAAAACAAAGACCCCTCTGAATAGGTAAAAAAAAAAAGCTTTTAAACTTTTACAAAGATAGTAGAAAGCCAATTACAAGTGTCCTGAGGAGACACTGACAAAGTAAATGGAGTCTTTTTTAGAATACAAATATTCCCTAAGCCAAGACTGATGTTGTATGTGAACAGAGAGTAGGACTGCCAGCATGCTGAAAAGCAGTACGATATAATTGTTAGAGAGTACAGCATAGACAAAGACATTTTTTTCCTGGGGTTAGAAGAGATTAAGAGGAAGAACAATGTTGCCACTGCAATTTAATAGCATTTTATAGCCACCTCTTGCTTGATACTGAATTTTTCCTCTGTTTAGAATGGTGTTTGTTACTTTCCTGTAGATCTCATGCTGGGGAGGATTGACGCTGAGCTGTTAAGTGCTTATGTTGGGATATCAATGGATAAGTCCTAGCAAGCTGGCTGCAGTGACTCAAGATGTTAGCACCCCAGCAGTTGCTGTGCACCCCTGGCAGAGATTACTATTCCCACAGCAATGTCAGCAGCATGTCACTTCTGCTTGCCACTCGGTGTTGCCACAGTGCAAAATCTGACAATGTTGCTTAAAGCCATCTTCATCAACTATTCAAGCAAAGATGCCAAACTATGCACTGGACTGGCAGACAAAAATTGCTCTCTTTTTCGGGGATCAGAAACTCAGTCAGAAGAGTAGTGCTGCATATCTGTAAGTCAGTAATAAACTAAAATGCCACAACTGTTAGTCATGTGAAGAGGAGTTAGTGTCCTAAATTAGCTAGCAGTATGTTAGAAAAGTACAGCATCAATTAGGCTATGTCTTCTAGTATGTGCTAGGTGGGAAGCTAAGTGGGGAACAAATGAGTTAATATTACTTTCTTTAAAACTATTGTAAGCAGAATCAGTTTTCAGCCCAGATTTAAGTGCTATCACCAGCTGAAAGCAGTTAACAAAAACACTCTCTCTGTGCTCAGAGGGCAGTTGATAGAACAGAGATTGTATTACCTTATGTCAATAGATTGTGTAGTTTGAATTAAAAAAATTTCACCTAAACCAGGTGCTATCTTTCCAAATAAAATCCTGTTCAAAGACCAAACTGAGTTTCCATTTTGACTTCTGCTATCATTTCTGCAGAAGGGTATACCTGGAGCCTCCAAAGCTTCCCATCTGTAATGGCACTAGTGCTTGGTGCTTCGTTCTCCCTCCTTCATTGCCCTCCCTTGTGCTCAAGAGCTCTTCTTTTCGACTCTCTTCCTCCCTGA